ACAGACAATTTTTCTGTTACTCGCTTTGCTATAGACTATTTCTATAGAAAATTTTCTTATCAAACACTTTTCTACAGAAACTTTTTCTATACACAACATTTTCTTCGGCCACTTTTCTATAGAAATATATTATATCGATCTCTTTTCTATATAAAACTTTCCTATCGATCACTTTTCTATAGAAAATTATCATATCGATCACTTTTCTATAGAAAACTTTCCTATCGATCACTTTTCTATATAAAATTTGCGTATCGATCACATTTCTATATAAAACTTTCCTATCGATCACTTTTCTATAGAAAACTTTCCTATCGATCATTTTTCTATAGAAAACTTTCATATCGGTCACTTTTCTACATAATACTTTCCTATAGAAAACTTTCCTATCCATTACTTTTCTATAGAAAACTTCCCTATCGATCACTTTTCTATAGAAAACTTTCCTAGCGATCACTTTTCTATAGAAAACTTTCCTAGCGATCACTTTTATATAGAAAACTTTCCTATCGATACCTTTTCTATAAAAAAACTTTCCTATCGGTCACGTTTCTATAGAAAACTTTCTTATCGATCACTTTTCTATATAAAACATTCCTATCGATCACTTTTCTATAGAAAACTTTCCTATCCATCACTTTTCTATAGAAAACTTTCCTATCCATTACTTTTCTATAGAAAACTTTCCTATAGATCACTTTTCTATAGAAAACTTTCCTATCGATCGCTTTTCTATAGAAAACTTTTCTATCGATAATTTTTCTTTATCTGTTGGTCACTTCCCTGTAGAAAACTATTTTGTAGATAACTTTTCAAAAAAACTTTTTATCGATCAGTTTTCTATAAAAAACGTAACTACCGATCGCTTTCCTAAAGCTTATTTTTCCATCGATCACTTTTATACAGAAATCTTTACTGTCGCTCACTTTGCTATAGAAAACGTTCCTATCGACAACTATCTATAGAAAACATTTCTATCGAGCACTTGTATATAGAAAACTCGATCATTTTCCCATAAAAGTCTTTCCTATCGATCACTGTTTTATAAAATATTTTCCAGAACAGTTAACGACAGCAGTTATTTGAGAAAAAAATGTAAAATTGTTCCAGGAATTTTCTTTTATTATTTATGAAAATATTCAGATTCTCCAAATATGTATTAGTTCATATTGACATAAAATAATAAGGTTAAGTTAAATATGTGACAAAAAAATGAATTACAAAAATATTTTTGCATAAAAAAATCTTGTTAACCTCATTTCGCCCTTTTAATATTTATAAAAATTTCAAATACATATTACACCGAGTGCCCTCTGATGAATGTCATTAAAATTTATTAAATAAATATTGTTTTAAAGGAATAGCAAGATGAAGTGTTGCCCCAAAATTATGTAATTTTATAAATTTTTATAAAAGTGTAGATAATATAAGGGGGCTATAAGTGTTGCTTTTAATAAGGGGAAAATAAGTTGTTGACTTTTTTCATTATAAATTTAAGTTTCTTTTTGCTAGTTTTATACTTCCTTCCTTAATATTGCTTTTCTCACATATTCTCACTTGACTGTGACAGAACGTATGAGTTTTATTGAATAAAAATTGCATAATTGATGTAGCTTGACATGCAATTGACGCACTGGTAATTTAGCAAAAATACAATTTCTAAGCGCTACAGAACTGTAACAACATTTAAACATGGAAGAGTATAGAAGTAAAATCGAAAAAAAAAAAAACTAGATAAATGGATAAATTAAGTTTATTCGACAACGTTCTTTTTCCTTAAACAAATTTATCAATCTACAAATGTGCCCCTAACTCTTTACATGTAGTTATCGCTATCTTTGCATGGCATCTTGATATGGGTAGGTAGTGCGAAAAATTCTTTAAAAAGTTAGGAATAAAGATAGCAAACAATGGAGTGCAGCAAATGGAAAACAAATATCGTCATATCATTATTTTTCTACAGAAAATTTTCTTATCGTAAACTTTCCTATTTTATTTTTATTTTTTTTTTTTTTTATTTTATTTATTCATAGTAATATAGAAAGCCACTCTTGGCCATTAATCAGTTTTCCATAAAAACATTAATATAGATCACATTTTCAAAAAACTGATCCATTTTCTATAGAAAACGTTTCTATGTATATTTATCGATAAAAGACTTAACAACGATGACCTTTTACAAGACAACTTTTTTTACCAATCTATTAAAAATAACTTTCATATCGATCATATTTGGATAGAAAATCTAACTATGGATTATTTTTCTATAGAAAACTTTCCTATCGATCACTTTTCTATAGAAATCTTTCCTTCCGATCACTTTTCTATCGGTCACTTTTCAACAGAAAACTTCATATCGATCTCTTTTCTTTAGAAAACTTTTCTATCGATCATTTTTCTATAGAAATCTTTCCTTTCGATCCCTTTTCTATAGAAAACTCTCCTGACGATCACTTTTCATAGCCAGAAAAGTCAGCTATCACTTTCATACGAAAAACTTTCCTAGCAATCACTTTCATATAGAAAACTTCCCTAGCAATCACTTTTCTATAGAAAACTTTCCTAGCGATCACTTTTCTATAGAAAACTTTCCTAGCGATCTCTTTTCTATAGAAAACTCTCCCAGTGATCACTTTTCTATAGAAAATTTTCCTAGCGATCACTTTTCTAGAGAAAACTGTTCTGACGATCACTTTTATATAGAAAACTGTCCTGGCGATCACTTTTCTATAGAAAACAGTCCTGTTCTGTCGATCACTTTTCTATAGAAAACAGTCCTGTTCTGTCGATCACTTTTCTATAGAAAACTGTCCTGTTCTGTTGATCAGTTTTCTATAGAAAACTGTCCTGTTCTGTCGATCACTTTTCTATAGAAAACTGTCCTGTTCTGTCGATCACTTTTCTATAGAAAACTGTCCTGTTCTGTCGATCACTTTTCTATAGAAAACTGTCCTGTTTTGTCGATCATTTTTCTATAGAAAACTGTTCTGTTCTGTCGATCACTTTTCTATAGAAAACTGTCCTGTTCTGTCGATCACTTTTCTATAGAAAACTGTCCCGTCGATCACTTTTCTATAAAAAACTGTCCTGTTGTTCACTTAAAACTGTCCTGTCGATCACTTTTCTATAGAAAACTGTCCTGTCGATCACTTTTCTATAGAAAACTGTCCTGTCGATCACTTTTCTATAGAAAACTGTCCTGTCGATCACTTTTCTATAGAAAACTGTCCTGTCGATCACTTTTCTATAGAAAACTGTCCTGTCGATCACTTTTCTACAGAAAATAGTCTGTCCTGTCGATCAGTTTTCTATAGAAAACTGTCCTGTCGATCACTTTTCTATAGAAAACTGTCCTGTCGATCACTTTTCTATAGAAAACTGTCCTGTCGATCACTTTTCTATAGAAAAGTGTCCTGTAGATCACTTTTCTATAGAAAACTGTCCTGACGATAATTTTTCTATTGAAAACTTTCCTGTGGATAATTTTTCTATAGAAAACTGTTCTGTCGATCACTTTTCAATAGAAAACATTCTTATCGTTTCTATATAAAACTTTTCTATCGATCACTTTTCTAAAGAAAACTTTTTTTGTTCTATAGAAAACTTATTTATAGAAAAGTGATCGACAGGACAGTTTTCTATTCAAAAGTGATCGATAGGAAAGCTTTCTACAGAAAAGTGATCAATAGGAAAGTTTTCTATAGAAAAGTGATCGACAGAACAGTTTTCTAATGTTCTGTAGTAAAGTTTCCTATCAAACGCTTTTCTACCTTTCTTGGTATTAAACTTTGCTAATCCTATAGATCATTCTTAACATTGAACATGGTTCAAAATTCTCAATTGTTCTGGGATTGTTTTCAGTTTACCCTCGTTTTGCGAGGAAGGCAAACAAGCCATGTAAACATGTGGAGAAAAAGTCAATTTTTTCTTTTTGAAAATGAAGAAAGGATGCATGATGGTGTTCTTTCATTTTTCCAACAAACAAATTCTCATATATAAATTTTCTACAAATGTTTAAATGTTTGTTTATTTGTGTGTGCGTCATGAATTCAGGGGTAAAAATGTTTAAAAGAAAATAAATTCATTTTTTTATTTTCTTCAAGAGCAACAACAACTAAAAATAACAGAAAGTTTTCAATTTGTGCAAACATTTGTATAACTAGTAGTTTTTTTTCTTTTGCTTCTTCATTTTTTGAACATCCTTTTTACTTGGATTTTTTTTCCCAAGTAGTTTTACCATAGTCCTTGTATGTTAAATGTCTGTCAGTATTGTCTGTCTGTTAAACCATCTATCAGTCAGTTCAGTGTGAAAAACTTTCACATCATCAATCAATAGCTGCAGGGAATTTTAAGGGTCCTTTGCAATATTCCTGTAGTTTTTTTATTCTCATATTTGCTGTGTATTTCTTGTTTTACTCACAATTTAAATTTAAATAGTTTATTTAAGTTATTCAATGGGATTGAGGAAAAGAAAAAACGGAGCGTATACAGATTTTGCCAAGGTAGGGGGAGATTTGGTCTATGAAGTGTCGTGGAAAGTCTGAAATAATTATACCCTTGTTTTTCCATATTACATAGGTTTTATACTTGCCTTTACTAAACTCAAAACCCCCACAAAATTTAAATATTTAAACAACATCTAATGTTAAAAGTTAAGAAAATTGTAACACATTTTAGCAAGCTACTCACTACTAAAATATTTAAATGTTTTATACACTCAATTTAAGTGACTTTTTTAAAATAATCTATTATTTATTAAGCTAATATTTAGCAAATGGCCTTTAAAACCCCCATAAACAATTTAAACATTTCTAACTTTTGAAAACCAAAAAAAAAAAGTTCCCTAAAACCTTTTAAAACACAAGATTTGGTGTTGTTGTTAAACTTTAAAAAAGTATTTTACCTAAAACCTGTAAAATACTCAAATTTATAGCTTTCATTCCCACACTCACACACACACTTTTGAAATTTTGCCTTTTTTTGCTGTTTTCATTTTGCAGGTGAGGTACAGGCCTCCACATATCCTGGTCGTATTATTGTCACCGAACCAAAGGGAATGGTACAGCCGCGTATAAATGTGGAAAAACATTCAATGCGTCATGTTGTGCTTAATGGTCAGACAACGTTGCCATGTATCGCTCAAGGTCATCCAGTGCCAACATACAGGTGGGTAGAAAAAAAAAACAAATACTAAAACACATTCGTGAAGGTAACACATTTTTTCAATGTTTTTTTCATTTTCACTTACATTTTAACATTTTAACTTTTTTTATTTATTTGTTTTCTTGCGAATACATTTTACTCTTGTTTTGTCACTCTTACATTTAAATTTTAATGTTTTTTTTTGTGTTAAATTTTGATTCTTTAGCTGGTTGCTTTTTTATCTCGTTTTTTATGTATTTAACCCTGAACTGGTGACAATATTTTTTCGGCTTTTAAGTATGGTCATAATTTTAAATAGATTTTTGTTATGAGTCTGGGTATTCATAATTTTAATACTCAATTTAATGTCAGTTTTAAGTACTTTTTAAGAAGGTTTTTTAAATACACAGTAAATTTAGTTCTTATAAACTTTTATTAACCCTTTAACTATAAGTACGTGAGTGCGTGACTTTATTTAAGAAATTTCAACAGGTTTTTTAACTTAAATAAACCCAAGCTAAGTCTAACTGAATTATTGAAGACTTGGATCCCGAAGATATCTGGGGTGTTCATAAAATTGATTTCAACAGACACACAGACAGACAGACAGACGGACGGACACACACACAGACGGACAGACAGACAGACAGACAGACAGACAGACAGACAGACAGACAGACAAACAAACAGACAGACAGACAGACAGACAGACAGACAAACAGACAGACAGACAGACAGACAGGCAGGCAGGCAGGCAGGCAGATAAACAGATAAACGGGCAGATAAACAGATAAACTTATAGATAGCGAATCAACTTCGCTATCTATAAGGATCCAGAATATACATATGCACTTTAAAGAGTCGGAAAATTATATTAGAGAAATTACAAATTGAATGACAAACTTTTATATACCCTTCTCCATCTGTCTGTCTGTGTGTCTGTTGAAATAAATTTTCTGAAGAGGCCAGATATCTTTGGGATCTAAATCTTCAATAATTTTATCTGAAATGCTTTCGAGTAGTCTCTTATTCAAAATCAGCTAAATCTATCAATAAATAAAGGAGATAGCAGCAAAAATCCTTTACTAGTGTGTTTCAAAAAAAGTTTAATTTTATAAATTTTCAATTTCAAAACAAAACAAACAACAACAATTTACGCCAAACGAAACAAAACACAAAAACGCAAAGCAATAAAACCAACACACATCCAAAAATACGATTTTTTCCAATAAGCAATGCTGTTGTTGCTTTTTTGTCAAAGCATGTGAAAAATTCTTTTTTATGAAACTTTCAGAGGTTGTCCTCGGATTTTTGCTTAAATCTTCGTTATTTATAGACGTATTTTGCTGATTTTAAATAGGAAACTTCTCGAAAGCATGTCTCACAGAATTATTGAAGACTTGGATCTAGAAGATACCTTCTAGATCCAAGTCTTCAATAATTCTGTGAGACATGCTTTCGAGAAGTTTCCTATTTAAAATCAGCAAAATACGTCTTCTTAAAATTGATTTCAACAGCCAGACTGACAGACGGACAGGCAGACAGACGGACAGGCAGACAGACGGACAGACAGAGGGACATACAGACGGGCGGACATGGCTAAATCGACATCGCTATCTATAAGGATCCAGAATATACATATGTATGTACTTTATAGGGTCAGAAAATTATATTATAGAAATTACAAACGGAATGACAAACTTTTAGATATCCTTCTCCGTATGTCTGTTATCTGTCTGTCTGTCTGTCTATCTATCTGTCTGTCCATCTGTTGAAATCAATTTTCTGAAATCTTCAATAATTCTATTTGAAATGCTTTCGAGAATACAGAGATACAGACGCATAAATTAATAAATTAAAGAATCTGAAATTTAACACTATGGTGAAGGGTATATAAGACTCGGAACAGCCAAATGTAGCGCTTTTACTTGTTATACCCTACACCACTTTAGTGGGGTACCCTCCCCCAGATGTTTGTAACGCACAAATACTTACCTTAGCTACGTCTGTCCGTCCGTCTGTCTGTCTTTCCGTCCATGAAAACCTTTTGAACAAACTACAAGTCGCAATTTTGAAGATAATTCAATGAAATTTGATACAAGATTGAAAATCGTTAAGATCAGTACATTATATCACCTAGTCCCTATACAACTGAACCCCCGAATAGGACTTTTAAGTTCATAATTATGTTTAATGTACTCGTATCTCGACAAATAGCTGCAAAACCAAGCTTTGTACTAGCCTTGATGATCCTAATGAATTTTATAATGAAAGAAATTTATTTAATCCTAGCTCCTATGCAAAGCCCCCTTCAAAGTATGTACTTCATTTTAAAGTATGTACATATTTCTAAGCGTGTATGATATGTACTCGCCTCCAATATCATCAACGTGATCTAATAATGACTAAAAATTCTATTGTGTAAGCAAATATTAACATATTAACCACTTACTTGGTAATGAAAGCCTTGGCTGGAACGCTGTAGGTCAGGATTCGTTGGTACTTCCAGATAAAAAAAGTACCATAACTGATCGAAATAAAAATTTGCATATTTACAGACTATACCAAAATAAATGGTCATACAAAATATGGGCAAAATCTGTTGAATGGGCGTGGCATATTTGTTGAGAATTTAATGGTAATAAATAATACATATATTAGTATATTATATTGGCTATGTTCAGCGTGCTTAGATAATCTTTAGTAGTTTCTGATATAATTTCCTTTATTTTAATATTATGGGAGGCCACGCCCACTACTGTTAGTCTGCCGATTTTGATCCTAAATAGTTCAATGTTAATGTTAATCATTTCAAGATTATATTTCTTATAGTTTTTCATTTATATAAAATTATTTTTTTTTTTATTTATGTGGGAGGTGCCACACCCATTATTTTTGGTCTTCCCATTTTAGCTCTAAATATTTGTATTGGCAGTACCCAAATTAAAGGACTCTTGCCGTTATATTTTCCCAAATATACGAAATTTTATATTTATCTAATATGGGAGTTTCCACGCCCACTATTGTTGGTCCGCCCACTTTTTATTATTCATACGAGTCAGAATTTTTCTTAAGAAACTCTAACTGTTATAATTTCCCAGAAATACCAATGTTTTCTTTTACATTGTATGGGCGTGCCTTCCGCCCACTTATATTTTCATACCAAAAAGTGGGCTATAACGCCTTCCAGATAAATTTCCATTTAAAATTGCAATTGAAATTAGATATTGGATCCATACGGTGCAAAGCTGGAAGAGTATTCAAATAAGGCTCTCTCATAGTCCAACACATCCCTAGATTTAACATTATCACCTGATATTTCTTTCTGGTTTTTGAAAAATCTGTTAACCTCTATTGAAAGAATATTTGTTTCAATTCCGTATATACTTCTGTGTGGATTCTAGTGCTGTGTTTAGAAAGACGGTAGTAGATTTCGGTTTCTGGGTTTCAATGTATTTACATCGTTTTGTCTCTCAGTCCTTAGAAATTTAGACAATTTTTTAAATTATTTTGTATAAATATTTTTCCTTCTACTATAAGATCCTCTTAAACAAATTTATATTAAACTACACTTTTCTTAAATACTTTCCTTTTCCTAAATAAACCATACAACGTTGTAACATTATTAATAATTTATTAACTCTTGCCAAAACTCCAATACCCTCATTCCCCTATCAATTGAACTTGTTACAAAAATCTAGTTAAAATTTGTTCCATTAACACAACAACTATTTTATTTAGTTTTTCTCAGTTTTCATTCAATTTTGTTTTTCTTTTAATTTTTACACTCAATACTTGTATATGAAGTACTTAACATTAATGTGTGTAACATGCAACATATTTTTTTACAATACTCCTTCCATTACTTTCTGCTTACAAAACATATTAACAAATGCATTACCCATAAGCTCATGGGCAAAGAGTGTTGTGATGTAGGAAGTGGGCCAGGCAGTACATTCTAATTTGTAATAGTGTAAAAAGTTAACAATTTTTAATAGAACGACCTAATTTATCAGTAAATGACAGGCAAGGCCAGTTGGTTTTTAGTTTAGTTCAGTTCTGTATGGTACGGTTCAGTTTGGTTTAGTTACGCTGGGGTTTTGGTTTTCTCAATTTATATAGACTTAGTGTATGCAAGTGTACTTCATGTTATATGCTTTCTATGTTCTCTAGGTTTTTCCCAACTTTTTAAAGTGAAAACCAACGTAAATGTTGTGAGTTCATGTTTGTGTAAACAATTAACGAGTGTCTAAAATGAAATTACCGTTACAATTAGCAAGAGACAAAACTCAGAGAACACATAATAAAAAATGACATAGAAGAGAATTTCAAAAAATAGGAGTTGATAAAACTAACGGACCTTGTTGTGAACAGTAAACAAGAGAACATGTATAAAACAAACTTATGTTGATGAGTTAAAAAACATAATTGTTGAATAAAATTAAGTGGATATGATGGTTTTACAATGTATATGAAACATGCTAAGCATACACTGTTAGTATTGCAAAACTATAAAGCAGAAATTGCTCTCTTGTTTAAATTACTTTAAATTTAGAAGTAAAATTTTATTAGAAATTAAAATAAAGTTACTTTTTCTAAATTGTTAACATGTGTAATAGGCAAAATATTAATAGTTCTTCCTTTTAAAACTAATTATTAAAACTAATTACTTTTTCTTTGACAACATGTTACCTGCATAACAGCACACCATATGAGTATCCTCCATAAAAGAACAGATACCAACCATACAGTTTTAAAAGTCACTTAAATTTTGCATTTATTACTTTTTTATAGACTAGACTGTGGACTAGTCTAGTCTAGTCTATAGTCTAGTCTATAGTCTAGTCTATAGTCTAGTCTATAGTCTAGTCTATAGTCTAGTCTATAGTCTAGTCTATAGTCTAGTCTATAGTCTAGTCTATAGTCTAGTCTATAGTCTAGTCTATAGTCTAGTCTATAGTCTAGTCTATAGTCTAAGTCTATAGTCTAGGTCTATAGTCTAGTCTATAGTCTAGTCTATAGTC